GGACGTCCACTTATCCTCAAAATTTCTCTTTTAACAATAAAAATTCCTCTAATGGGCAGGACATTTGCTCAACATTTAATAACTATTTCAAAAGCGTATTTACCTATTCTGTTTTACCATCAAGTGAGTTTCATATGAGCATAGATCAGATCTCTAGCATAAGTATATCCCAGGAAGCTGTTCTTAAGTATCTTAAACACTTGGATTCAAACAAAGGGGCTGGTTATGATGGAGTGCCTCCTGTGTTCTTGAAGTCCTGCGCCGATAGCTTAAGTTACCCAATTTATTTACTTTTTAAACTTTCTCTACAACATTCTGTTTTTCCATTGTTATGGAAAAGAGCGCATATAATTCCTATTCATAAAAAGGCGCCAAATCTAAGATAGATAATTAGCGCCCAATTTCGATTCTTAACACTGTTGCGAAAATTTTTCAAAAACTACTATTTGATAAAATTTATCCAATTATTATAAAAGGTATACCTAACTCACAACATGGTTTCTTGAAGAGACGCTCCACCACGTCTAATCTTGCCTGCTTCACTGAGTACGTTCTCAATCATATGGAAAACGGTGGTTAGGTTGACGTTATATACACGGATTTCGAAAAAGCTTTTGACCGTGTAAATCATGTTGTCTTGCTACAAATGTTCCAGGCGCTCGGAATTCATGGAGATCTGCATAGATGGGTACAATCTTATCTAATGAATCGATCTCAGGCAGTTATTCTCGGAGGATACAGGTCAGATTTTATTACTATCCCATCTGGCGTGCCTCAAGGCTCTCATCTTGGCCCCCTATTCTACAACTCATATATATTTGATATACATAAATTTATAAGTATCTGCCCTCACTTACTGTACGCCGATGATAAGAAAATATTTCTCAGTGTTCGTACTATTGAAGACTGCGAATCTATTCAAAAAGATCTTGCCTCTTTATATAACTTTTACGTAGCTAACGGCATAAATAAATAAGTATATCTAAATGTCAGTGTATATCTTTCACCAGGAAATTGAATCCAATAGTATTTCCCTATAATTTTAATGGAATTTTAATGAGAGGTTCACAGTTGTTCGAGATTTAGGCGTACTCTTTGATGCTGGCATGACCATGCGAGCGATATCAATAGTATATGTAGTAAATCTTTTCGTACTCTTGGATTTGTCATGCGCACCTTTCTTCCATTTACGGAATTACTAAGTCTTAAAATAGTTTAGTAAGATCTACTCTCGAGTATGCATGCCAGGTTCGGTCACCGTTTTTTTAAATTTACATTAACAATATTGAAAGAATTCAACGTAAATTTAATAATAGCTCATCATATTTAGATGACTGCCGACACTATAACCTTCTTACGCTCGAAGAAAGACGAAGACTGTTAGATATGGGATTTCTATATGATATTTTACGCGATGGTATTGACTGTCCGGATTTACTGAATACTGTCACGTTTAATATGCAAAGAAAACATACTAGAATCACCAATAAAACTATGTTTAGTATTCCTCGTCACTCCACACTTTACGGTAAAAATAGTATCTTAACACGATTGTTATCAAATTATAACAAAACATTTAATACCATCGATCCATTTATAGGCAGTAAAAGTGATTTTAGAAACAAGGTACGTGCATTCATTTTGAACACAGCTTCTGTTGTTTGAATTACCTGTTTTTGTAACCATTTACGTAGGATGCAGGTAAGGTACATTATGAAGAACACTTTCTGTAGGTTAGGCACCTTCTATATTTAAATAATAAGTAAACTATGTAATATTTTAGAATATGTATGTATATGTATGTGTGTGTGTGTATGTATGTATGTATATATATATATATATATATATATATATATATATATGTGTGTGTGTGTGTGATAGATATAATATAATATGCCATGATACAAATAAATTAATAAAATAATACACGAGAAGTAAATCGCATATCAATTTATCAGTAAGGCTTAATATGTAAGTGACAGTAAACCTAAATTTACTTAATTTTTATTACTGTTATTTTATTAAGCTGTTTTGGTCTAATTTGCATTGTTTTTATTTATTATAATTGTACCTGGCTTACCTTTATATTTAATATGTGGATGACTGTTATTGGCATACTTGAAGTGAAATTGAAAATTGTATTTAGTTATATACGCTGTTGTTATCCTTATTAAAATTAAAATTAAATAAATAAAAATAGACATCTACATCAATCCTCATTTTAGAAATAAAATTCAGATGCATTGTCACCCATGAGGACTGAGACGGAAAGCCTAGTATACAGTAAAAAGGGTCCCCGGTTCTTTACACTCACCATACGACACACAGCAGCGTTAAGCTGCAATACGACGCTGGTATTCTGTGAGAGCGTGGCCCTACCTTGTCGAGCCGACCCATTCGTGCTACAACCGTATTGTAGCAGTAGCGTGGCTCTACCATGTATGACTCTGCTGCCACTGCTGAAGTTGAACCTCTAAAAAAGGAGGATTGGCTATAACCGCCAGACTTGGCAGTCGTTTCGCACCTTTGACACTGCTTGCCAGCATATGTAGCTACGAGACTGTTGTATCGCTTTTTTATATAATATGATCTTTCGGGCTTTACTCATAGTGACTTCTTAAGACACCCATAATATGGTGTAGTATAGGTTCTTTTACGATATTCAATTTTAGTCTTCACAGACGACATCCTATATCTTTGTTTAAAGTCGATTGCAGATTTTTGTGACTACGCTAACTGGTTAGTTGCATGCCCGTTTGTCACTTTATTTAAAAAAAATACGTACACATTTCATCTGTACAAATTAAGACGTCGAAATAAATCTTTATTTGCATGACACTTTCGTACAAAGAGATTTAAAATACATATTACTACTTAAATGTCTTTGCTTTCGTAAAAAGTACAGGCCTACGTTGACACGATTTAATAATTCATGAATACGGTGTGTTCAACAGAGTTATTACCATGAAAATGAACTTAAGATATTTATTTCTAATGTCACGTAGCTCGGAGGTCATGTATCTTAGACTTGGATCGTAATTTTAGGTTGTTTTTGTATTAAATGAGTGACGACGATCTTCCGCTGGCAACCACCTGATAATAAGTGGCTACTGCAGTCCATTAACACCTATAAACGAATCAACTTTAAAAAGCGGCTACAGGTGATTTTTTGCTTGCTTGAAATTATTCCAGCACTCAAGCAGTCTCAAAAGCAGCTCTCAGAGTAAGATCTAGAGAAATAAATAAAATTTATTACTAAATGCATATAAAAGTTTATACGGTACTCAAAAAAACTATTTACATTTTTTTTGTCTGTCTACTGTCTCTCGTCTGTCCATCCGTCCGTCTTTATGTCTGTTTAATCTCCGAAATAGCTGTGAGCTGATTTTGACGGAACTTTCACTGACAGATAGCTAATATTACAAGGATCAACTTAGGCTACTTTTAATTTACAAAAAGAATTAGGGTACCGCGCAAAAAATTATACCCATGAAATTCAATTGTAATAAATTCCACGCGGACGATGTAGCGGGGAACAGCTAATATGAAATAAATCAATCGGTGCTAGATGATTCAGGACCGTGCTTTGTGGCATGTGTAGGGCAGTGATGATGATGATGATGATGATGATGAAACTAAATAGAGAAAAAAGTTTTTATCGTGTCTGTAATCATTTAGTGTCTTCTTTGTATCTGTATATCTGTGTATCTGTGAAAAAATATACAATATTTATTATAATAACATTTCCAAAAAGTGTCAAAGAGTCTGCGGTTGTACTGCGGTATATTGCTCAGAATGCTGGGCTGCGTTTTTTCGTAGAAAGACTGTTGTACTATGTCGTAAGAGGCGGCAACAAAAATGCCGTGAAATCTCATGGCCTGCAATAGAAGACAGTTAAATGAATCTACTGTACATTAGACCTTACGTAACCAGGACAACAGCGACTATGTGCAGCGTCAAATATTAGAGATTTGGTGAAGTAAACTGCCGACTCTCCCCTTCTGGATATGTAGTTCGTAGAGTGAATTACATTAGATGGTGATGATATATTTTTGTAATAGATAAAGAAATAGGATTTCCCACATATAAAGAAATTATAGCAAGCAACTTCACATTACGCTTCACATCATTTTTAAGTCTCAGGATATTGGCTTTTGCGATCCCGTGACCCCTCTTTAGAATGGAATAGAATAGAATAATTTTTATTAAATATTGATTACAAGTAAGCCTTTTTGAAAGTCTTTTTTTTACTTCATCACTGGTTCGGAAAAAATCTCTATCTTGGGAAGAACCAGCAAGAAACCCAGCGAAACTTTAATTTAAATAAATTTTACAATATAAACAACATTTATTTTCCTTCATGGTTACAAATTATTTACATAATTTATTTTAGAAACAGCTTAGGAGCTACCACCTCATTCCCAGGGGTTATTTTCAATCGTGAATTCATTTATATTATAATAACCCTTTTTATACAGTTTATGTTTAATTAAATATTTAAACTTGGTAATAGAGAGACCTTGTACATTTTCTGGGTATTTGTTGTAATAGCGTATACATTGCCCCAAGAATGTAGACTGGTATCACAAGCTTGTGTTTGTTCCAGTGTTTACAGAGTGTGTATCACTGTTTTTATTAATATTAAGAGTGGCCACTATGGGATTCTAGTTGGTAAGAGTCCGACTTAGCCTGGTATCCTTTCTTAGACTAGACCGGCATACATGAGGATTCCCCTACGTAAAAATGCTTTCGCAAAATGCACCAGTTGGTATGGACCTCTCGGAAGATATGCCTACACTTACTACGCTAGGCATTGGCAATGCTGTTCCCTACCACAACACAATGAAATTTGGTTTCAATGTTTTAAATAATATTTTCGCAATGATTCGATCGCTAGAACCTTACCCATTCGTCAAACAAGCAAGCAGCTAGGTGAGAGCACGAACATATTCCCCCTTACTCTCAATTAAATCAACACGTTATTATTGCTAGGGTTGCAGTTAATAAATAACAACCTTTCTTTGGTTTTCTATTTTTGGTTTTCTATTTTTATTACACAGCACAGCTCCTACAGCCAAGTCTGAGGCGTCTGTTTGCAGTACAAATTCATTAGTTTTACCAAAGTCTGGGTATTCTAATATTGGTGGAGAAATTAAAGTGTTTTTTAAGAAATTAAATGCATTTTGGCAATCTGAATTCCAAATGAAAGGTACATCCCTTTTTAGTAAATTATTTAAAGGCATTGTTATGGTAGCAAATGAAGGTACAAATTTTCTATAGTAATTGCAAAAAGCAACAAAGCGTCTTACTTCATCGGCATTTTGAGGAACTGGAAACTTATCTAGAACTTTAGTTTTTTCTGGGTCAGGTGCTATACCATCAGCGGTTACTACATGACCAAGATATAAAATTTTCTTTTTTAGAAATTGACACTTAGCGGGATTTAGTTTTAAATTTACCTTCCTCAATCTTTCAAAAACGTCTATCAAATTTTGGTTATGAGTAGCTAAAGACCTTCGAAACGTAATAAGGTCATCTAAATAAATGAAACACTTCTCAAACGCTAGTCCTGACATTGCTATTGACATGACCCTACTGAAAGCACTACAGGAAGTTTTAAGACTCATCGGTAAACGTTTTAATTGGTAATGTCCTGTACTAGTTGAAAAAGCTGTGTATTTTCTGCTTTCAGGTGCTAATTTTACTTGGTAGTATCCTTGTTGTAAATCTAGATGAGTAAAGTAAATTGAACCAGATAGTGAGTCTAAGATGTCTTTTATGTTGGGTAACGGAAATTTATCATCTACAATGTTTTCATTTAATTTACGGAAATCGATTACTAAACGCCATTTCTGTGAGCTTTCAGACTTTTTAGGTACTAATAGTATAGGACTTGACCATTCGCTAGAAGATTCGTCGATAATGTCGTCATCGAGCATCTTTGTTATTTGTTTATTTACTTCAGTTTTTAATGCATGTGGTAATCTATATTGTTTTTTATATATTGGATTACTTTTATTTTTTAATGTAATGGTATGTTCGCAAATATTAGTAGTTTCTAATTTATCACCTGGTAAGAAGAAAATATCAGAATATTTAGAACAAATGGTTTCAATAGATTCTTTCTCTTCATTGTTTAAATGAGTAAGTTCTAATAAAGGTAACAAAGATTTAGCCCTATTGGAGCTACATTTACATTGACCAAATTTAAAAATGTTATACTCTCTCAAAGGTTCCACATCTAAAGTAAAATTGTTTAATCTTATTTCCTCATCTCTAGTATTTAAAATCGTAATTGGAACGCGTTTATTTTTCGGTTGAACAATAGTTCCTGCCAAAAATACATCCTTTTCTATCTCTCTCGCGCACACAAAACAATCCTCTTCCACTTCCTTATTGAAATACACATAATGTATAGACTCACTTCGAGGTGCGAGTACTAACGAGTTGCTATAATCAGGTTTATCGAAAATCGGTAAAATACAATGCTTACCATCTAAAAGCATGATTGATGACGATAATAATTACTATAGTGTGGCATAGACTACCTTACCGTGACCGAGACCGCGGTAAGAGTGTACTTGATAACCGATATGTCCTAGACATATCATCTTACTGCGGATGATGGAGCAGATTATTGTAGCAATACGGCCTGCCTGAATCGTATTGATGCTTGTTGTGTTGTTTGGCGGGTTGTTATTCGCAATAGTGATCTATGCGTCTTGGCCTAACTAAGTCTAAGTAGTTTTTCTCAAGTCAGGTCCCTTCATAACGGGGCTGTAGTCTGTGTGGCGTCCCTTTTTTTTTTTTGCGGATGGAAAATCATCAAATGACGCCTTTCGCTCTGGGTGGAGCGGAAGGGAGTGTCAGACTTTTACTGACTAAAAACCATCCGTGTTCTTTCAGTGCCCTTACGTTCCGGAGCCGCGGTATCTCTTTCGAACAGCCCGCAGCCCCGGCAGGCGTCGGCCCTTGCGGGCCCCTTCACGCTGCTGACAGCTCTTTGAGGCGCGCGTGGAACAAAACGCGCCGTCGACACGGCCTGTCGTCGTTAGACGGACGGACGGCGAGCTACCCATTGCTCGCCGTCCACAGGCCCGCGCCTACAGTGGCCGGGGGCCACGACGTAGCCCCCGACGCCCGGGGCGTCTCCCGCGGCGGCCGGGAAGGAAAGCTGCTGCTCTCTCCTTCTCCCGCTCCGCCACCTCCTTCGCTAGCATCACTGCTTCGCAGAAGGTGGTGACGGCATCCCATTCCGTCTCGCTCCGGACCATGGCTTCGACCAGGGCCGGACGCGAGAGGTCGCCGCCGCCTATCGCCGCTACGAGGACACGGCGGTGCTCCGCCCAGGCAGGGCACACCTCCACGGTGTGCTCCACCGTGTCCTCCGGTCGATCCTCGCAGTGGGAGCACCCGGGCGTTTCCTCCCGCCCGATTTGGTGCAGGAACCTCCCGAACACACCGTGTCCGGTGAGGACCTGCGTCAGGCGGAAGGTGGGGACGCCGTGGCGTCTCTCAAGCCACTCCTCAAAGAGGGGTCTTATCGCCGCTATAGTGGCGTGCCCAACACGGGGTTGCGACAGTCGCTCTCTCCATGTCGCCATGAGATCATGCCGGAAGTCTGTCCGCTGCACGACAACTTGCCGCGGCAGCGGGGTTTCCCCCCGGCATAGTGCCTCCGCGCGCCATTCGTGCAGGCGCGCGAAGACTATCGCCTCCAGATCCCATCGCGGCAATCCGGCAAGGAGGCACGCTGCCTCGCGGGAGATCGTGCGGTAGCTGCGAACCATTCTTACGGCAAGCACCTTTTGGGGCGCGTTCAGGTGGTGGACGGCAAGCCGCGCCAAACCACGCGCCCACACCGGGGCCCCATAAAGGGCCATGGACCGCACAATCCCCGCGTAGAGCCTCCGGCAGGAGGCGTTTGGCCCCCCCAGGTTCGGCAGGAGCCGCCTGAAGGCAGCCCCGGTCCGTTCCAGTTTGGGAGCCAAACGTCGGAAGTGCTCAACGAAGTTCCATCGGCCGTCGAGGACGAGTCCTAGGTACTTCAACGTCGACTCGACGCCGATGGATACCCCTCCTACCATCGCTGAGGATCCCGATGGTGGCCTGTTCCGAGGACCATGGAAGTGCATGGCCTCGGACTTGTGCAGAGCCACCTCAAGACCTAGCTGCCGGATCCTCTCAACGACTATCGCAACCCCGCGTGTCATATTTTCCGCCGCCGCCTCGTACGACCCCCCCTGTGCCAGTACCAGCGTGTCGTCAGCGTAGCAAATTACGCTGACGCCGGTAGGGAGGTCGACGCGCAGCACCCAGTCATAACCGATGTTCCACAGGGGCGGCCCCAGAACCGAACCTTGTGGGACACCGCACGACATCTCTCACCGGTTCCACTCACCGTTGCGACCGGGGTAGATGACGGCCCTATCCGTCAGATAGTCCCCGACTATACGACGGAGATAGGTCGGCACCCGGTGATACCGGAGTGCCTCCCTAATGCAGCTCCAGGGCATGGAGTTGAAGGCGTTGGCGATGTCGAGAGACACCGCCAAAACAACCCCCCTCCCCTGGCCACTGCATCCCCCGTCGTGAGGGCTCTCACGCGCATGATGACGTTGTGTGGCGTCCCTAAAGTTTATACAAACACTCACGCCTATCACCCAGAGGGGTAGGCAGTGACTACGGACTTCCATTTAGCGTGATCCTAACACACCTCTCTCGCCTCCTTTACATCCATATATCTACGCATACACGTTCGTCGGTTAAGGGTACTCCTAATCTGGCCCATTTTTAATATATCGTCGATTTGGTCGATAAACCTACGTCTAGGGCGTCCCTTCCCGTTTCTGCCGTTCACTTCTGCAACATAAATTTGCTTTGTCACTCTTTCCTCGTTCATTCTTTCTACATAACCAAAGCACCGAATCATTTCTTTCTTAATCCTTGTCACGTCATCTTGCAAACCACACTTTTCTCTTATCGCACTATTTTTCACACTGTCATTCAGATTCAGCCCTAGCATACTCCTTAATGACCGCATTTCTACAGTATTTATTTAACTCTCATGCTTCTTCTGCCAAACCTAACTTTCACTACCATACAATAAATTAGGGACTAACACAGCATTATGAATTGCCATACATGCCTTATTTGACACATTCTGACTCTTCATAATAGCGTGTAGAGCCCCATTCACTCTATTTCCTGCGTTCACTCGTCGTTCTATAACTTTATCATTTACCAACCCTGCTAAATAAACATTCCAAATATAAAAACTCATCCACTTGCTCAATCAACTACCCTTCTATTCTTATTTCACATAACGCTTTACTTTCTTCTCTTTCAAAAACCATCACTTTGGTCTTACTCTCGTTCACCTTCACACCCCTTTCATTTAATGACCAGTTCGTTAAAGTAACCATAATTTGCAACTCGGCCGCCGACGATGCAAATATGACTTAATCATCGGCGTCCAAAAGGCATTTGACGGTTAACTCATCCATTTTCAACCCACATTCTTCAACTTTCAAAGTTTGCAAACAACTGTCCATAAATAGGTTAAACAGCCACGGGGAAGCTACACACCTTTTTGAATGCCAAACCAGTCCTAGTAGACCACGTTGATCCTGACCCAAGGACTAAAGTCCCTATAAAGAGACCTTAATGCCTGTATCAAACCAGCGCTCAACTCAAATGAGTACACTGTTTGCCATAACATGTTACTGTCCACTTTGTCATAAGCCTTTTCCAAGTCCATGAACGCACAAAATCTTTCCGGTTTTTGGCCAAAAACTTCTCCGCAATCATGCGCATGGAAAAGACTTGATCCGTACACCCCGTCCCCTTTCCATACCAGCTTGCAAATCCCTTTTCCATCAGTTTCTTCCATAACTCTTTCAATTAACACCTTAGCATACAGTTTACCCACAATGCTAAGCAAGCTGATACCACGGTAGTTTTTACAGTCCTGCTGCGACCCCTTTCCCTTATATAGTAGGATTGTAACGGGTTTCACCAGTCTCCGGGACCCGCTTCAGTGTCATACATAAATTAAATGTTTATATAGCAACATAATAAAATGTTTCTGTAAATGTTTCCACCTTTGGATAAATAAAGGCAAATTGTTGGTGGAGGAGACAAACATGATCAAAAAATGCATAATAATAATTAACGTCAGCGACACAAACCCTTTCAGATGCCTGCATTATTATTGAGGTAAAAACGTCTTTAGAATCGTTGTAAATTTAAACTCGATGACAATAAAAAGAGACCTACATATACATATATAGTATTTAGCCTGCAAAACAATGAGTTTATTCTTATTATTAGTTCCGTGGCCGTTCACTACTGCTATCTGCGCCAGAATGGCGAAAATCAAGCCACCTCATTATGTCACGATCCTCAGCAAACTTGTATACAACATCTAACGTAATTAACGCACATCCTCAGACACCCCAATTAGTATATTATGTTATAATCATAATACATACACTGAATTCTTAGTTAAACATGTTTATGCATTGATTATTTATTAAATTAGTTATACTAATTCCGGAAGAATGTTTTGGTCACCCTATAAAACCACGAAAGCTAGGTATAGGTCTTGCTAGCGTTCGCTCGCGTTCGAGACGAGTTAACGCCGCCGCCACTTGACACAACTGTAGATAGGTATTAGTGCCGAAAAAAACCGACAATACATGATTGGTTACGTTAAAGAAATACTTACCTATGAACATAAACAGATGACAGAACTCCGTGCATTGAGTTGTTTACTTAAGTCTAGTAAACATTTGATTGCATCTTTCAATCACACTTCAGGCTTTGGACTCCGAATAATTTTGTTTATTGATTATGATACAATGTCAATAGACGATACTTACAAAATGTTATGAATTTGCATAACATTTCAATTGTAATTGTAAATAATAACGAACTGCTAAAACTAAGAGGTAATACGACAACATAATTAATATGTATATTAATAAAGATGTGAATCAAGATTACAATAATTTTAAGAGTCAAATATTTAACTTACTGATAGCCTAAACTCTCATGCAACGTTGTATTTTAATACATTTTCAAAATGTCCACCACGGCTCCATGGCGCAGTGGCTTAGCAATTGAGTTGCAGCGCTAAGGACCGCGGGTCAAAGACGTATTCTTTAAAAACATCTTAGCCGCGGGTTCGAATCCCGCACGGAACAATATTTGTATGGCCTACAAATAATTGTTCCGGGTCTGGATGTTTGTCCTTGTTCAATTTATGTTTGTACACTGCCCCCACAATACAAGAGAAAATCGTAGTGTGGAGGTTACGTTTCAAAATAGAAAGAAATTAATTTAGAAAGCAATTCAGTGTCATTTTTCAGTATTCTCAAATCGTTCACTCATAGAATTATTATTTTTAGGTCCTCGGCACTTGTTGTCTCAGTAAAATAAACTAATGATTTAATACGTCCCCATAAAAAACAGTCAAAAGGCTTCGAATCAGGTGATCTGGGAG